GCTCTCCTCATACCACTTTCCTGAAGATTTGTTTCAGCTTATCTTCTCAGTTGCGCTTCAGTCTTCTAAATGTTTTTTTACAAATTTTTCAGATAAAATTTTGTATCATGTTTATATTTTTCTCAATTGGCCAAAGCTGTTTATTCTGAGAATAATACGAAACTCATATGTAGACTCTAAACAAAACGCAGAGGTGCTGAATATTAAATAAGGTGGTACTTACAGTAACCACTGTTACTTAAACGGTTAAAAAGTACTTGAGACAAGTGCCCCAGAAGTTATTTGCATGACTGATGGAAGTGCTGTCGATAAGGCGCAATGACCCTCGTGTTTTGTGGCACGGACTGGGTGGCCTATCTGGGACCAGGTGGTCTTCAAAGTGTGGAGATGATCATCACTCTTGTTGTAACAACTCGATGGCCTTCTGGAGGCCAGGTGGTCTACCAGGACCTCATGTAGAGACTTCTGCACCAGGTGGCTGGGGCCAAGGGGTGTCTGCTTTTGTGCGACTGTGGGAAAATCAGAAGGTGCAAAATATTTGGAAGTGGAAAGAGGCAGAGAGATTATACAATTAAACATTGGTTTAGAAACATCACAAAACTTTTGCCCTAGGATAAGAGGTCATGGTATTTCCTTCAATGCTTCTGGGCTTTGATTAATAAGTAATTTATATGCCCAAATATGAGTATATTTTTTAATATCAGTTCACACATTGACAGTTTTGAATCCCATTGAACTTAATCTCTCCGCATTTTTAGTTATAAACACTTTCTGCGAAGATAAAATTTAAATTAATTTTGGTTGCACCGTTCGGATGATAAATACGACAATGACATATTATTTAACGTATTAACATAAATCAGTTGTTGCTAAAACCCGAAGTTTACAACGATATAATGTTATTACTATCCACTGGAATATTTTTTAAGAAAGTATTTGTTATTTACTGTATTGCATTTTATATAAAATGCTTTCTGTTATTAACAAGTCTTTATAATTTTAGATAAAATTACGAATTTCATACATTTTCGTGTTTTTATTTTACTTTTTTGGATTATTTGGGGGTTCGATTGCGCGGGAAAATTATTTCCCAATTAACCTGGATAATCGGGAATCGACTGTGTTTACGTAGTTGTAAAGATAAGCATGGATAAATCAGTGTCTTTGCATGAGGTTGGTCTGTTGCAGCATCGAACGACAGGAGATGACCCTCCAGGACCGGACTGGGTCGCAATACCTGGACCTGGGAAGAATGTTAAGGAAGTGAAGGAACGCAAAGTGAAGAGCAGGGAGAAGCGAGAAGAACGTGTTGAGACAGAGGACATCCAGCACTTGGGCGATCTTACCGATGAGGTAAGCGCGGCTTTTACTGTGCATGTCACCTTTACAGTTGCAGATATTTGCGGGTATGACGAAGCTTTTTGGAACCAGTAAAACAGAAAGTGAGGGATTACGGATTACTTCTAAACACGATGCTTTATTCTTTCACACTTTACAGTAGCGCTGAGTATTTTGTAGCCCGCTCTGACATCTTAAGTAATCTTGTGTTCAAGTCCAGATGGTCCCAAATAAAAAAATATCCTTTTTTTCCTTCTAAACTAACTATTTTCGTCCAGTTTTAGATTTGTCAATTGGATTAAGCTGGCTCAGGAAAGTTTACGATAAGATTTTGTGAACATGATGAAGTTGCGAATTGCTTAAAAGCACGTAATTCCTTTATCAGCTGAATAGAAACTCGTTCTTTTATCAGAGCTAAAACCCTGTGAAATCTAAGGTTAGACTACCTGTCTTACGTATGTGTCAGAGAAGTTGCCGTACTGGAAATCAGAATTACGTCACATAAAATGCAATAAGCTGTGCGCACTTGGTTTTACCAGATTTCGTAATTACACAAGAAAAGTGCCAACACTTCATATCAGCATATCTGAAATGTGTGTAACTGTATCTGGTATTTATCATTGTTTGGGTTTATGTTAAACCTGCCTTGTCGGTATACATAAACAGTGTGAAAATAACATCAACTGCGCAAACGTGGATCACGATCGGATTTATTATTTCTCAATGAGAAATCAAAGATAATTGAAGTCCAGCAAGATAAGAATGACTGTTTCCATGTACGGACAGCAGAGTTCTAGACATTCAACATGTAGTGGATTGCACTCAGCACATACGTAGACCGTACGACTAGACCATGAAAGCCTCTGGTAATCGTCCTCTGACGATTTTCCAGCGACTCTCGTTCGATGATTGAAATACAGAGCATTTTGGGGTGTAGCTGGCTGAAACATCGTGTTCACACGGGGCAGCGAGAGAAGTCGGTAAGGTGGTCAGCACAGCAGACAGAACTGCTTGGTAATGGAAGTCACGTCGAAGCAGTCTGGAATTGACAGTAACTGACAAGTCAGACGAATGTTCGTGGAAGACATGGCCTTTCCTCCTTAGTTGCATCGATCATAGTCTCCCATGTACGTAGTTGAACATTTGGCTAGAGTGCAGGGGAATGGATGTTTCTGATAGTGAATAAGGGTGGAAAGATGTAGAGCTGCTCCAATTTTGCAAGCCACTGAACACAAGGAATACATTGCGCAGACAGCATTTCGTTAAATATTCGCGAAATGTAAAATGTTTCTAATTAACACACAGAAGACTAACAGGCCGGCCGCAGTGGCCACGCGGTCTGAGGCAGGGATCTCGTGCTCCTGGCCGTTGGGACCGTGGGTTCGAGTCCCACTCAAGGCATGGATGTTTGTCCGCGTCTTTTCGTGTTTGTATAGGTAGAGACCTTGCGTTGGGCTGATCACTCATCCAAGGAGTCCTACCTTTGTCCAAATAGATCAATCAAATAAATAAAAACCTCGACACCTACGGGTAAAAGAGGGTGAGAGAAAGAAAGAAAGACTAACAGAGAAGAGATAAAGTTCCACTCATTATGCAGGGCTTCATCCCTTATGGGCTACCACCGTTTACTTTGAAGTGGTGGGGAGGCTTGAGTTTCTCAGTGACCCTGAGATCTTGGCTGGCAGGGTTATCCAATCCGGACAGATTAAACGGTAGGGTCCGGGAAAAAAGTAGCCCCTGATCCTCCAGTTTGGATTTTTAAGCGAGAGGTCGGTGACTTATCACACGTAAAACTTTAACAATTACTGAAGATCTCAAAACTCAGAAGCCGCTTTATCGGCAGAAGTTACGTTTGTGAACGGCAGGGCGACAAACAGCTTTATAAAGCTGCCTGCTACTCTAAAGCCTCCTAAATCCATTGGAGAGTAGACTCGGTCATTTTCGCCAATAAATATTTTGGCCCATCGTCGGGTTTATTTAACACTAACAATTGTTGTACAGTTCAGACTTCAGGTTCTCACGTCGACGAGTATAAATGTGACTTCTGGGAAGTTGCGCCGTGTTGTTTAGTAGAAATCGCCTGATGTTGAGGTGTTTACTGCTTCCATCATCAAGGCGCAACATCCGAGAAGACAGCTATCTTTAAGTATTGAACAGGTTTTGATGATGACAGCCAACTACTACTACTACTACAAAAAATAATATTAGAATTATTTAGGTAGAAATGGTTTACTCTGAAGTTTGGGTATAATGAGCAATGTCCTTTACAGACTTGCAGTGTGCTGGACAATTTGCTTTCCTATTTAGGCTTTGAGCGGTCTTCCGATTATACGTACTCAAGCACCATAATTTTTCTCTCCTCTTTAGATTACAACACTTTTAAACAGCATTACAAAAGTAAAGGGATTCTCATTTGAATTTCAAATGCTGTGCTCTCTCTCACAGTTGTTGCTTCATAGGCACTAACACCTCTTAACATTCGCTCCTATGTCATTTGGCTCCATTTGCATTTTTAGAAGCTGCTTCTCCGTCCTCTATGTGACTGCAGACAAGATCATAGTGAAGCAGACCGCGTCTGTGGTTAATATTTCAAGTGCTCTGAACTCACGACACTGGCCATTGATACAAAAAAGTAGTATCAATAAAATCTTCTCGGGCAATCAGCCGCGTTAACTGGTTACCGTAGTAAACCGACTTTTCGGGAACAAACTCTGTCCCCATCTTCAGGGTTGTGATGTGACTGGATCCTCTGAAGTTGCGAAAGTCTCAAATCTGAAAAAAGTAATAGTTTATAACTGTGCGGTTTATAACGTCATTATAACCTCTTGAGCTAGTTTATTATTTTAGGATGTATTCTGATTCAGTTCAGTACATTTCAATTCGCTAAAATCTTCCGAATTTCTGACTTAATAATACTATCCTATTTCCCGTCAAGGTACTAGAATTTCCGAATTTCTGACTTAATAATACTATCCTACTTCCCGTCAAGGTACTACATGGAGTCGATTTACAAAATGTCTTCTTGTCAGAATTTTGCATAGAATTTCTCTGTATCGAATGTCCCGATCCCAATTCGGGAGATCCGGAATTATGATCGTGGTCCTGAGACAGGTTAACCTGACTGAGGTCTCATGTAGCTACCATCAGTAGGTCACGACCTCTTGCTTCCACATTCTTTTCAAGTCATCGTCACTAGCATCTTGTCTGTTTCAGTTACAAAGATTAATTCTGCTCGTAACTAAAAAGTACAAGAATGCGTTTGTTAGCTTTTGTCTGTCCCTCTATCCACATTTAACAAGAGAACCTCTGAAGGAATTTTCATTACATCTTATAATGGGAAGTTTTACAAAAAAAATTCTACGTCTTTAAGTTCTGGTTAAAATCGGAAACAACATCAACGGACACTTCATACGAAGACCTATGTCAGCTCATGCGTTTTTGCGTGCAGAATCGGGAAATCCCTAGGCCACTTTTGTTATTTTTATTATGGTTTCCATGGTTACTCTGGTTTCCTGTGGAATATCCAGCCACCCGGTCTAGTGCAATACCACTAGCACTATTTTAGAATTTCAAAGGTGAAATTCTGACTAATGTGCCAGAATTGTTACGCCACGCGTACATCCCCTAAGTTGTTTATGGTTTGTATTGTACATGTAACGAAGGAAAGGCATCTGTTCTATGGCATGAACAAAGGAGATACGAAAGAAAGGAGTTGTTCATCAATTTTATTTATAGCCTAAAGTGATTTATGAGAAAAATGTTAATATTAGCTATTTCTTTGTTGGTACAATATTGCGTTGGCGTGACACTGGACCTCCAACTTTGCTTTGTTAACCAAACACTTGATTCAAACTTACCACACCCAAGACTTTAAGCAAGAAGATGCCAGAGAAGTTCAGAGGCTGAACCAGTGAGTTCCGTCAAAGAACGGAGAAACTGCAGAAGATGCATAACTGACGAAGATATGAAACCACGCCCAACTGTTCTGTGCAGAGGAAAGCTGAAAAATAATGAGGATCACTAAGCGAGCCTCCTTAGATCTTCAAAGGGACGATGTGTGATGCAGCTGAACGAAACTGTGCATCTTTGTTTAAAGCGCAGGTAAAGAACTAGGATATTTTGTATGCAGCGTGTTATACTAAAGTGAAAGAAAGCAAGGAAACAATGAGAAAGAATGGAAGTTAATAAAGGAAGGCAGAAAGGGAAATTGACTGAGAAGAAAGACAAATAAAAGAATAATAAACAAAGAAAGATGTCACAAACAGAAACGAAAGAAGAATAAAGAAACGATCGAGAGAGGGAGAGAGAAAGAAGGAAATAAAGGGGTAGAGAGAAGTAATGAAGAAACATAAAAGGAAGAGAGAGATGAAAAATTAAAAAGGAAAATTCAATCTTTAAGCAATCCACAAAACCCAAACTTTTACAACTTTAGAGCAATCTCTTCTGAGCCCACATTCTGTTCGGACGCGAACGTGTCCGCAGATCTCTTAGGTTTTATCGTCTTACGAGTTAGGCCCGTGTGTTCTTGTAGGTGGTTATCAACGTTTCGAAGGAACGATTGGCTTGTATCTTAGCGTACCACTTCTATCCTGAAGATGGAGGACATATATTCTTCGGAAATTTCGTTAACTACCAACAAAACTAAGATGTAAACCAGAAGATGGCAATCGTGTTCCACCGCCGTGAACACCTCAAACCTCATTCAGCGCTGTTGACCAGTAAACAAGGTATTTGTTGGTAGCCGAAGTGAAAGTGGGCTCATGTCACGGTATCTTACCCACTCTAATACTGACCTCACCACAGATTGTATTTTACTTTGGCTTCGTATTACATGTTAATGTATCTTGAGTATCGAGTTAACAATTTTAAGTACAGTGGTACCTATATGTATCACTTTCTTTAATGCTCAGATAATTGCATTTTGTCCATTGAGTGTGTTTATGGGTTTGATATTATCCTTGCAATAAATAGCAACTATTTAAGTAAACATCAAAAACCAATTGATTTTTGTAATC